TCCGATTCCACGATATCTTTCACCAAAAGTTGAAGGCCATGGGAATCACACAAAATGAAGAAACAATGCCTGAACTCGGGCATATTCTTCATCTCAGCGTGGAGTTTCCGCATTGTCGAGCATGTATCTGTGCAGATAGCGTTCATGCGAGAGAAATCCTGAAAATCCTCTCCTTCCTTCGTGAATACCTCTTGTAAGAGTGGCTGGATCAGGCGAATGGTATTCAGGGCTGTATGTTCCTCGTTCTGTGTATTAACAGTCTTCCAATAGAATGTAGCTGAGTTGGGAATTGAGATCGAAATGTTGACAATACGGTTGTTGCTTATGTCGTCAGAAGCGTCAAAGATGACATTAAGATAATCGGCATCGTCGAGGATCTCCTTGACTTGAACTCAGTAATCTTGGTAGACTTCAGGAAGTATAGAGGCAATTCGATCACCACAAGGGGGCTTGTACGCTGGATTGAGTATTTGGATGAACTCAATCATGCCAGAACTTCGAAGGTGGTATATGGCTTGCAGCTGGATTGAGCATTTGGATGAACTCAACCATGCCAGAATCTTCGAAGGTGGTATATGGCTTGCCAGACGTGAAGACGGCGAGGGCTGCAGCTCGATCAAGTTGCTCTTTAGAGTTTCGATCCATAATGGACAGAGCGGTGGTGCTTCGAGGCTGGCGATCAACATGGCATCTTTAGAGTTTCGATCCATAATAGACAGAGCCGTGGTGATTCGTGTCGGGCAAAATCCACTGCAGCCTGCAGCTTGGTGGAACCCAAGACACTCCTTGGCAAGGTGGTTCTGTTGCCGTTGGACGTGCTTGGCCATAGTTTTAGAACAGTACTTACACCGAACGCGATGTTGAGTGAATTTGTGTCCTCCTGGAGGAATAGGGGCTGCTGCAAAGTGCTCATGAACACCATAGGTCTTAGGGCGGCCGCCTTTCTTACTCATCGTGACAGCTCCCTATCCCTCACTTTTCAACATAGGGGAAGGGAACATCATGACGATTTTTGCGGTGTTACGCTGATTTGATGAGGCTATATCGTATAGTTGGGGAAGGCAGAGGCACTTTTCAACATAGGGGAAGGGAACATCATGACGATTTTTGCGGTGTTACGCTGATTTGATGACGCTAAACCTATTTCATGCATGCGCTAGTCCTGATATGGCAATACGCTAAGCCTAAAGTAGGAGGGTTTTTGACGTAAATTACTGCCAAAAACCCCCATTATCAATTTGACCGGCAAATACTGTTTTTGACGGTCAAAAACGGAACCCTACACGGCACTGGGGCGCATCGGGGACGACGATGGCAGAACTGGTAGGGAGCAGGTGAAGAAGGTAGTCAAGGCTTGGGGGTTGACATGTTCCTGAGGCGCCTCCATGACTGCCACTGCGGCACGCTGTTGTTCTACGACGGCCTCTGATGCTGGCTGGCCGCTAGGTTCCGTCTGAGATTGCTGTCGCTGCTGTGCAGCCTGGTGTTGTTGAAAAAGGCGGGATCCCATCTGTCTGATTAATGCTCGCTGTTCTTTGGGGAGACGATGAAGCAGGCCGTGGACTCTCTTTGGCCGCGCTGGGCATGCCGCTTGGCCCGCGGCATGTGGCCCAAGGCAGTTGGCACACTGCTCGGGGGCAGTGCAGCCGTCACTTGCGTGGTTTGTCTTTCCGCAGCGTTTGCATCGTGTTTGTCTATTGAAGGCATGTCGTGTGTGGTAATCCCAGCAGTTTTCGCACTCCTACGCAGTCGTTTAGAGGACATCATTACTGAGAGTGACCCATGGGCATTCACAGCGGTTAAAAAGCAAAAGAAAAAGACGGCCGCGCTATATTAGCCGATATGTAAGTAGCTGTAGACAATACTAAGTCACGGCTATTCTCATTCATGCATAGCCGCTTTCACGTTGTATACGCTAGGATGTCCCATATTCCATTTCACTCGACGGCCGGATAATATGATTTTCTTTCTGCCTCTTGTTCCCAACTGTTCAGTTTTCATTCTACATCAACATCAATGACACTTTGCCTTGAAGCTACCGCAGTGAGGACTATTGTCATGTGATGAAGCTGGCTGCAACCACGTCGAAAAAGGCTAATCCAATAGTTAGACTGTGGGCTGTTCTTGAACACTGAGGTCGCAGTCTTCATCATCCACTCCACGCAGTTATTGGCGTCAAAATGTAGGCAAGGTCTAACTACATCAATGAGAATAATAAGGTAGCAAGCCATATACCAGGGGGCTGCTGTTATATAACGCTGTTCTCTTGCACTAGTAACGTAATGTAACTATAACATGGCAGGTCATTGCCTTTCGGCCACGCCAACCCATGCTCCGTCCACGTAATGAGGATACAACTACGCCAATCTGTTTATCACAGCCCCAACCAGAGCTGATCCAAGTTCAGCATGGCTGTCCAGTAGATCCCGGAACTCCGGGACTTTCCACAGTCTTTCGACTTCGCAGGCGGCGAAAAGTACTGAGGTCTCTCAAGTCGTCGGGAACGAGTGTCTCATAAGAGTATTGGAACAGAGCTATCACACCAGCCAAGGTCTTCGCTTGTAGGTTCAAGTCAATCAAAGAGCGGTGGAGATTGTTGTATGATATCGTCGTTAGTTTGTCAATACCGTGATAGTCGGCGAAGACGTAGACCTTTGCGTGAGATACCAAGTCTTCTGTCTCGGCAGGTACTTCCTCGGCTCCAGCTACCGCATTCAGGCTAACGCTGGTCCTTCGAAGTGCGACAAACTTGGCCCATAATGTTTCCTGCTTCGACGGAGGTTCTTCTAGTTCCGATGAAGGTTCCGGAGACTCGTATCTGCCTTTCTTCTTCTTACCTTTTTTCACGCGGGTTGGCCGATAATCATCCTCCGCTGGTGGCTCAGGCTCTGGCTCCGCCATGGTTTGAACAGAGTCAACTGGTTCATCCAGCCCGTAGTCGACAGGCTCAACGGCTTGTGTTCCTGTTCCATCTGTAGGAGTATCCGGCCATTCTAGATCAATTGCTTTGTCTCGAATTTCGACCTTTAATGCCGCTAGCTGTTGCTCCTTGCGGACATCGTAGCTGCCTGTGTAGGCATATTGGAAGAAACACCCGAATGTGACCGCGTCGACCGAATCCCACGTAACACTCTTTTCAAGGCCCTCTCGCATAGGTCCATTCACCAGTCTCTCGAGACATGGAGACAGCTTGGCGACGAGTGCGGAATGAATCGTAAACTTGCGGCTGTCAGGCCCCACGATGAAAGTGTAAGGTTCCGAGGCGGCGATTCTAGCTCATGGTTAGGTGTGCAACAAGGGAAACAAAGGCTCTACAGTGGAGCGGGATGCCTACGCTGAATTCATTGACGTGATCTTCTTGGGTGCAGTAGCCGAGTTGCTTGTTCTCTGCTGAAGAAGGTCTTCCTTCTTCCGTGGGGGGGCGGTTTGCTTTGTGTGAGAGCCGGTCGTTTCCGAGGGACAGACTAGTCGGTCGTAGTTGGGTGTGCTTATTACAAACGAGGCTCGTTGTGGCTCACTTAGCTCACCATTGCGAGCCAAGTGATCCTGGTGAGCCAAGATGCGTGCCACCCACCCATGTACGGTCGCCTGTTATGCGGCCTGTCAGCTGAGTTTGTCACACAAACGAGTCACGGTGCGCTCAGTCTGAGCGTAGAGTGAATGTCACGTTGGTGATAGATCATAGATCGCACCAGTTGACCAGTATGATTGAGATAATGATCGTGTTGAAAACTATCTAGTAGTTCTATCTATGAATCCGAGGAAAAGAAGGCGCTCCCTATATACTGGGAGTGCTGGTAAGATTCAGGAGTGAGCACCGTAGGTGCTCATTTCAATTCCCCAGTGATCGCCGTGCTTGCTCACTTATAATAACTGAGCGTTACAACTAACAGGGTCGGGCGCTTACCCTAAACGATCAGAGAGTGATTTGGGGAAAGACTAGCCGGCCAACATGGTGAAACAGTGCAAGCATGCAATCTTGCTTCAGGACTATCTGACATGGTCGCGACCAAGTCCGCCGTACCACAAGCAAGTCTATGAAGTGAGCTTCGACAAGTTTGGTCGCAGAATTTAACGAATACCAGTAGCGGCTTGTCTCGCAGGGTTGCCTTGCAGAGAGTCTCTGGAGTTCACGACATCGCGAAAAAGAAATTTCTATCTTTTTTGGCATGGTGAGTTCGTAAGTATTGTGCTGTGACGACAGCCACTAGCATTGTGCAATGATTTCCTTTTATCAGCAGAACGGTGTACGGTGACTCATCCTGCATGGATCGAACAAGGCTTGATGAATGTAGTGGGGTGACGCGGGAAGCGGGAAGTCGGGCACTAGGGAGATGGCCCGCAGGGCGGTGAATGTTTGGAGGCAGACAGACAGACAGATTTTATTGACGCCCGGAGGGATTTCCCTAGAGGGCCTTACTACTTGCTACATACACTCTTCTCATGCTTCCTCGTAAAATCCAAAACCCTTGCGCAAGTCTCAACCACATCTTTCCAAGCTACTTCCTCTTCTAGGTTTGGAGGCATGAGCATGGGCGAGCTGCATATTTTTGGTCGAGGTCGACACGCAACATAGCTCCAGTGGCCAATCAATGCAGCGTCCGTGCTGAACCCATTAGGGATCAGATACGGAGAGTGTGCTGCACACTGACCGGGACGCAACTGTACCCCAGGTTCACCGAGAGTGGGGATGCGGTGGCTTGGGCACAAGGCTTCCGCAGTGACTGAGAGAAGAGGATACAGCTGTTGGCCCGAGCTGCTGCTAATGCTGGCAAACTGCGTCGGACGCTGGAGGTTTTTATGCCAAAGCAGGCGTGCGTAATGAGGAGATACTGGTATGCGTAGAGGCATATGACTGAGGCCCATCCCAACTTGAGCCAAGTTAGGCCATCTGGCGTGACATCCATTTAACAGAACGGACGAAACGGAGTACACGGACTACAAATTTCGCATCGATAGTATTGTACTGAATCGGTCATAGTTACGACATGGCTCTGTGTACGTTGGTTGTCATCCCTCGCTCCCTTCTTTGTCATTTTCTTGCGCTGAAGCTCTGACGCCGAGTACATATAGCTCTGGGCCCTCCACTAACCATTTAACAAAATATAAGCTCCGAGCACCTAACCTCTAAAGCCAAAAAGATTATCACGATGAGAATATTGGTAAATATCAAAACCCAGGGAACCATTACTGCTCATGAGGTCCTTCGTTTTGCTACTAGCTAGCAGCTTTGAGTGGTGCTTGCAAAACGCCGCGACCAGAACATGTCGTAGTCTGGTTTCAAAATCTGGCGCCTGCGTATACGCCTCATGGGTTGCCACTAAGAAGTCATCCACGTCGGTGATTTCTTGCACTGCAGCTTCTAATTTGCAGAGAGCCGACGATTTCAGTCCATCGATGGCATATGTCTCCGCAAGTATGAAAACGCGAGTATGGAGGAGAATATCTGATGGCTTGGCTGTGGGAATGATCTCCTCTTCGGTCTCCTCTTTATCAAGCGGAAAGTTTGAATGTGGGGGTTGATAGTCGAGATGATAAAAATACTGGATCATGCAATCGACAGCGCGAGGATCATGGGGTGCAAGATCCAGAGTTACTACAGTGGGTTCATTCAAGTTTGTTGAAACCTTCATGCTCTTCGAGTCGTAGCAGCCGACGGACTCACCATCGCACGGGTCGGGACTGGTGACGTTGGCTTGTGGCGATTTAAGCTTGCATAATGTTGCCAATGCCTCAGAACGACTGCATACAATAACTTTGTGCACGTGATAATGCTTTCCTCCGGAGATAATCAAGTCAGAATAATCCCCAGTTGCAAGGGCACTGGCTTCGGAGATTAATGCGATGAAATGAGACGGTTGAATGGAGATGTCATCAGCACGAACCGGTGTAGCGCGGGTAGAAGCTCTGTTTCTACCCCTTGTTGAAGGCTTTTAGGCATGGATGATAAGGCACCTAGTGGCTTTGAGATTGGGTTTGAGGGAGCTGCGTCGGACGGCTTCGTGGACGGAAAGAGCTCAGGAAAAGCTTCTTGCGCAAAAATCCGGGATTCAAAGATGTGATCCTCGAGTAAAGAGCGAAGAATTTGAACCAGTCTATCGGTAGAATAAATCCAAACGGGAGATGATGTTGATTGACTACCTCACGAATTTTCTTGGATCGCCGCAACTGTGCGTAACGGGGCTGAATGAAGATGCTTCTAACCTGGCGCGATAGGTAAACCTCCTTCCTGTCAGTCCTCGAAATTTGGGAGCTTGCCATGGGGAAGGTGATGATCAGAGAGGGCTGACAGGTCGGGAATGGGAGCGGGCAGGCGATGAAATTTATACGTGTATTGTCTGAGTGGTTACCTATAGCGGGAACGAGCGATTCAGATGAACCGTATACCCCCAACAGGAATACTGCTTGGGCCATGACGGACCTGTACTACCAAGCAGCAACCCAAGTAGTGGAACTTGCTGAAGGCGGGGGCGCGTGTTGAACTGGGCACCGTGGTGGAGCATTTGATAGACAATGCAGAATATGATACATCAATTTGAAGCG